GCAAGAACTTTAAAGAATTGTGGTTGTTTATACGGTGGTGGCCCCTAATCTAATTACAAGAAGATCGAGGGGCTGCCTTGCAAACACATTAACCTTCTGAAAGTTTTAGTGTAATTATTGCATTGCCTCGTGTGAAGAATCTTTTGTGAAATTTTGAAACTGAAGTCGATGCCTTTTTTGAGCTTCCACCAATAGCTCCATCAGTCCACCAATCAGTTTGAACTTTGAATCGCGGACCCACACGTGTCGGATGGATCGCATTGCCTCGCATGATCCTGGTTCTTTGTCTGCGCCATGGGCTCGTCGAGAAGACATTGACGCCAGACTGCTATGTGGTTTAAGCGCAGGCTAAAAGTTAACGACCTCCACTACAGTTTTCACCGAGTCCACAAGTTCGAGTTCGAGAACCACTGGCATCATGGCGGTGCGGGATGACGAGTTGACTAAGTTGGTTTGTTTATTTTTATATTTTAAAAATATTTTTAAAAAAATTAAATTTTTTATTTTAAATTAAATTTTTATATTTTTATATATTTTAATATGTTGGTATCAAAAATAATTTAAAAAAAAAATAATTTTAATATATTTTTAAACAAAACATATTTTTTAAAAAAAATCACTATTACACTCTCAAATACATATTTTATATCTCAAATACATATTTTATATAATTCTATGAATTAGATTTTTACTAGTTAAAATTATATTTGCTTTTATATTTTAAAAATAGTTTTTTAAAATTTAAATTTAACTAGATTTACTTATCAATTAGCCAAATTCCTGTTTAGTTTTTTAATATCTCCTTTTGAATTGTAATTTTATTTTCAGTATAATGTATGAGTTTTTATCCTATTATTTGTGAAGGTTTTGATACAGTTTTATGTATTTAGACTTCATTTTATGTTGTTATGATTCAAGAATATGGTTCTGTAGAGAAGAGTCCGATTCTTATCCCGGTGCTTGGAATAAACCTACTCTTGTATATTGACCATAAGTAAAAACACAAAATCATCAGCTAGACTAGGCCTCGACATCAATATGATCCTGATCCTTGTTTGTAAGGCAGAGCTTACAAGATAGTGATGGAATATGCTGAATGGAGTGAAGTCAAACACACCCATATCGGAGCCTCCTGGTATTTTTTTTCATGGTGAGAAGTATAAAAGCTGTCCGAGAAGTGTATTATTCCTCTTCAATGCAGGATTTTTTAGAGATGATCTTGACTATGAAGCATTAAATCTTACAAACAATATATCATCTCCGATATCTGTAACTCTAAACTACTGTGAACAAGTAAATGTCAAGCTTTAAAACATTAAAGTACATTGTTTTGTGTACTAATTTCCCTTCGTGCTTTATACTTTTTGAAATGTTTACTTTTCGTTGAACCAACAGAAGCTGGTTAGAAGATTCTACTGTACAGATTATAGAATCCGAGGGCCGAGGTTCAATGGTTCTCTGGCATTAGGATATGGCGAAGCTCTGCTTCCAGCCTGTGGTGCTGGTGAATGGCAGTAACCCTCATTGATCCATCATAGACCAAAGTTGATTTCTTCTAATTAATCATAAATTTATAAGAGTTTTAAGCAATATATATCATCCATTTATAATTTAGAAGTTTAGTTGAAATTCATAGCATATTTGAAGGGAACTAGTGTTTCTCGGCATAAATACATACAAACTCAACTCGTCATTGTGTTTCTCAGCATGGTTCGGACTAGATAGTCTATGAATTTATCAAGCCACCCAACTTGCCCAGGCACAAATTTCTGTTCATGCATTATAATTCACATGCGTAGAAGAGAGGGAGCCGTTTTTCTTCCTTGTTGTTCATAAAAAACAATATAATTTGAAGTGCAAACAGACTTTCAAACTGTGGATACTACGCTGACCAGAATCTTGCTTCGATCCAAAAACAGGAATAAACTTTTGTTCGTTTTATCACCATTGATACTGGAAAGGAAACACAACTGAATTCAGAGCCCCAGGCAGCCCAGCAAGAAAACACCAACACCCCACTAATTGCTAAACCAGTTTTCTCTTATCTAAATCATCACTTTGTGATTGTGATGGTTACTAAAACTATATTACAATTACGGCTCGAAACTTACGTTGTTGCTTTAAAAAGATGAAACATGTACTGTAGTGTTTCTTTTGTGATGAGAAATGAAGTTTTGTTTATCAAGATTTAGCCAATCATGCACCATGGCTTCCTTGTTTTATCAACGCAAAACACATATTCATTAATTTATCTGGACTAGTTTGATAAATCACGTTTACTATAACTTTGGTCATTGAAGTTTGGAAATATAGTTGATGGGAATATTGCCGATAAACCTTGCTAGAAAGGGCTATTCAAAGCTAATAGAGGCTAAGAAGATGGTAATGTTGAGCTATATATCAGCCATAAAACTTACAAGACAAGCTCTCTTTTTAGGTGTGATTAGATTTGGCAGGAAAAAGGAGACGTCTCGTGAGGTTGAGAGTGTGAGTTTGGTCATGGAGAATATCAAGGCGCGAAGAAGACAAAGTGTTTTTTCATCCGGTAGAAGGTGACTTGTCTTGAGATTCAAGATTTGTTGATTTAGCCTAGAACTCTCATGGCTGTGTGTACGAGCATGATGATCATTGTACTTATTACTTATTATTTTGAACTACTTGTTAGAAAGAGCAATAATGACAACGTACCACTGCAAGATTCAATAGTGTTTTTTTATTATTATTAATAATGCGGTGGTTGTTCAAGGTTTAGTGCTCCTGTATCATGATAAATTTTATATGTATTAAAATTAATGATAATTATAAAAAAAAATTATAATTTTAAAAAAAATTATAATAACTAAATAGTAAATTTAAAATTTAACCAGTTAAGTTATCTCTTAATATTAAAATTACTATAGCTTTTCTAATTAATATAAATATCTCGATCAGCTTGCGCGTATCTCTACTAATCTCACGAACCTTCAAATTAATGACTATATAAACTTTTAATGGCCTTAAAGGGACTCGAACTCATGATAATTAAGGAATAAACTCGAAATTTAACAAGTTAAGTTACTCCCTATTATTAGATTGTAATAGTTTTTGGTTTTATAGGTTATGCGACTTTGTTATTTCCATGGTTGTGTTGTATGTATTATTGATGATGGTTATTTTATCGATCATTATAGTGTTGTATAATTAGTTTTTATGTTTGAAAAGTGTTTTTAAATTATTTTTTATGTTTTTATATTGTTTTAATATACTAATATCAAAAATTATTTTTAAAAAATCAAAATATCATTACCACACTTTAAAATATTTTTTATTGTTATTTGTAATGTTGTATGATTTGTTTTTATGTTTTAAAAGTATTTTTAAAAAAAATTATTTTTTTTTGCATGTTTTCAAATATTTTAATATGCTAATATCAAAAAATAATTTTTTAAGACTAATAATAAAAATTAATCTTGTAAAAAAATAATTACCATCCTCCTTTCAGATATATTTATGATAATCATTATACTTATTATTTATTATCCCGAACTACTTGTGATAGAAAGCCATAAATGACCACCACAAAAATTGCTATAGTTTATTTATTTATTTATTAATGTAGATATTCGGGTAAGCTTGTGTATATCTCTATCAATCTTATAAGTTTTTAAGTTAATAATCATATGAATCTTTAATGATTTTAAGATTTATAAATCTTGAATTAGTGACATATTACAATAGTTTATGGTCTTATGGGTCGTGTGATTTTTTTGTTATTATTTTCCATGGTTGAGTATTGTGTATATTATTGATGATGATTATTATATCAATCATTGATTCTTTTACAGTGTTGTGTAATTAATTTTTATGTTTTTGAAATGTTTTTAAAAAATTAATTTTTTTTATATATTTTTGAATTGTTTTAATATATTAATATGAAAATTTTAAAATTAAAATACAAGTACCACTCTTTAAAACATCTTTGATGATTTATTATAATGTTGTATGATTTGTTTTTGTGTTTTTAAAAAAATTATTTTTTTACTTAAATTTTTTTTGCTGTATATTTTCAAATATTTTACTATACCAATATCAAAAATATTTTTTTAAATGAAAAATATTATTTTAATATATTTTTAAAAAATTAATTACTACCCTCCTTTCAAATATAACTAAGAAGGGTGCTTGCATTTAATGGATGTATATTTTGTTCCCCTCAATTGGTGGGCCTTGTTTGACTAGAGCTTGTGCCATGGGGTGAGCATATATCGTCTTCGGAAGAGGAACTTCAACACTTAATAACCTGTTGGCACTAAGACATCCCCGAGCCCAAACCACACGGTGGCACGCCGGGATGTGTTGGGCTATGAAGCACACTCGAGCCCGTAGGCTGCGTTGAGGCAAGCAGGGCCCATCTGAGCTTGTGAGGGTCTCAAACTGTTTGCTATTTTTTAAAATATTTTTTATTTAAAAATATATTAAAATAATATATTTATAATTTTTAAAAAATATTTTTAATATTATTAAAATGATTCAAAAATGTAAAAAAATAATTAATTTTAAACATTTTTTTTACTAATTTCTATTTGGCCTCCAATCTCAAATTGAATCTAAATAGACACATCACGTACCGTTTTATAATCTTGAAATTCTATTTTAAGAGTTCTCTCGAGGAGTTGAATGAATCTTCCCTCTAGAAAACGAGTTGAATATTGCTGTGGCTGCATTTTACAGAGGCAGTCTGTGGTTGCATTAGACAGAAGAAATACCATAAGCACGAGAGAATTTAAAGGTGGGCAAGTTTGCTAGCATCGGCTGAAAAATAGACTACCAACTACGCCTCCGGGAAGCAACATTTCGAGAGATTAAACATAATTTTTCATGAATCTCCTGGTTTTATTATAAATTATAATAAAACAATATTTTGATATCTTATTTAACAGTTAAGTTTTTATAATTTTTTTTTTTTTTGCAATTATGGCTGACATGATCGAGGAGATCATGACTAAGTTTCAACCATTCTAGAAAGTCGAAACTTAACAACCGTTTATTAATGCGACGCATCGCTTAAACAAAAGCATTCTTAGTACACATTCTAGGTGTGTTTAATAGCTTGATGCTTCACGTACCAAACACACCCCTTGACATCGACAACCACTTTACACAATCTAGAAGAGGGATACATTCTTAATTTACAGCTAAACACACCACACGATTCGCCTGAAAAGGTCCTGCGAAGTTTAATTTCTGATCGAAACCGGTAGCTTCATTGCGTGACTTTGCTCCGTCGTTGAACCACATGACATTCCAGTGGCCTTTTCATTTCGAGAGAGAGCCTTAAACACTCAGAAAGATCCACGGGTTTTGCGGGTAACCATCTGTACTCGTGTAAAAGCCGTGCGAACCATAGGTGCACCGTGGCTAGCCCAAGTGCCTTGCCTGGACACACCCTGCGCCCTGCTCCAAATGGTGCCAGCCTTAGATCCGAGCCCATAATCAGCACATCCTCTTCAATGAACCGGTCAGGATTGAAGACCCATGGATCCCTCCAAATGGAAGGGTCATGTGTTATGGCCCACATGTTAACCATCACTGTTGTGCCGGCTGGGATGAACGTTTTGTCCACGTGCACATCATGGATGGCTAGGCGGGCCCACGAGAGTAGTGGGCCAGGTGGGTGCAATCTCAGGACTTCCTTGACTATTGCTCGGAGGTAGGGGAGATTAGGGATATCAGAGTCTAGCACCTCCCTGTGGCTGCCAATGCACCGGTCAAGCTCCTCCTGGGCCTTTGCTTGGATTTCTGGGTGCTCCACCATCCGAGCCATTATCCACTCGAGAAGCAAAGCAACCGTGTCTGTTCCTCGGAATATCATCTCCTGTGTTACATTGTCCCACAACAAAATCATCCCAGTGAGATCCTCCTGGCACATAGAATTAAAAATCTTCTCCATTTGGTCCTTTGTACAGTTAGGATTGCAGGTAGAAAGAACAATGAAAAACGTGGAAACCAGCAACCACATGTCAATTGGTAACAAGTGTGGAAAAAACGTAGGTAAAATGAGAAGATATTTGCCATGCATGTGGATACAGTATAATCTAATAAGTATCCAAGTAACTTTTACGAAGCTCGGAGGGGAGCACTAAGATGACGATGGTTCTCGAATCTTGAAAACGTAGCAAAAAGACAAGGAACCTTTTAAAATCCTTAGCCTTTTCAAATATCAATAGAAACTGATCTTCCTAGAACGAAACAAAACACCTACAAAATCTGCATCCAACCACAATATAATCTGTCAAAAGAAGACTGAAAAGGATCTCATGCAACGAATGACCTTAGCTAGCGGTAATAATTGAGGAATAAAAGAGGTTGCTGGTTATACAAGATTATGAAAAGATATTTCAGATTGGACATAGAAATTCACCAATAATATATCACTATTGAGAGTAGTGTCTCAACATTTAATATCTACGAAATTTCCCTTGAGTTTTTTATAATTCAAAAAATTAAATAAAATCGTCTTCGTTAAGTGTATTCAAAGAAAAGAGCATAGTTTCTTTCAGATTTAATTACAAAATTAAGATAAATTGTTCTTTGATAATCTTCCTCAGATTTTAGATGAGAAATCATCCTTCTCCCCAGCTTTTAAAGCTTAAACAATAATTTATTTATTTTACATAACACAACTTTATAATTCCCTTTTGCAATTTGCACTGTGAAATTTATTTATTTTGTCAGATATTGGTTTAATTTACTTTTTAAGATTTAGCCAAGAGAAAGGGAGAATCTTTTACCCATAAAAGAGCCACCATATCTGATTCATTCAACTGGTCTTCCTCAGGCAAAGATAGCAAAGCACTAAGAAAGTCACTTCCACTCCTTGAGTCTCCAGCTCTTTTTCTTTCCTTCACAATTTGACCCACAACACTATTAACCTTGCCAGCCAACTTACAACACCTTCTCTTCACTCCATTGAAGTCCAAAAACCTTAGTGGAAAATAGTCATCGAAATTAAATTTTGCAATCAAGTCAAATCCTTCTTTAACCATGAACCCTAACTCCTCCCCCTCTATAGAGACATCACTACCAAAAACACTCTCTAATACATTGCTTAATGAACCTTTCTGCAATATGTCTCTTAACACAACAACCCGTCTCTCCTTCATCTCCTCTCTCACTTCTGCCACCATTTCATTAGCTAAACGTTGCCTAAGTGGCTCTAGAGCAGAGATTTTCCTCGGGGAAAACATGTAATTTGCCGCAATTCTACGCAAGTGTCGCCAATAGTCTCCGGAAGGAGCAAAGCCAATGGCACGCTCAAACATTAACAAACGAGCTGCTTCCTTAATAGGACGGTCAGCGAAAGAGCACCCGCATAGGATTTCCCTGGCTGTGTCTGGATGGCTACTAATTATCACACGAGTTGAGCCTAAACTGAATGCCATAAGCTTAGTTGCCCCTAATGAAGCAGCCACGCTAGCTAATTTTCGATGAGCAAGTGAACCCATTTGGGGTAAAGTGCCCACTATAGGCCACCCAATTGGACCACGAAATCTTGAAGGGTTTTGATTGTCGTGATGGTTTCTCCATGCAAAACCTCCAGGGACTAACCAATAGTTTAGAGAGAAAGCAAAGAAAGAGGATAATGAGAATAAAAGGATAGCAACAGGCCATGGAGTTTGGTGGGTGATGACAGCTAAGCAAAATAGCATGGAAGAAAGGTTTGCTGGTATGGACTTCATATCAGAAACTGTTATCTGGCAAAAAGGGTCTTTCTTTGAAGAAAAGCAATTCAGAATTGTCTACAGATGGACCTTTGTCATGGATTGGATCTCATGTGGGTCTATATATAGCATGTGGAAAGTTTATTCTGGTAAACTTATGTGGCCACCTACTTTGCTGACCTTGTTTGGTGGCCAAGCAAGAATCATCGGTGGTAATCTCATTTTCTTCAAAGATTTTATCGGGAAAGAAACAGTTAAAGAATCACTGGTAAGATTTTACTAACCTTAATTTCTTATTCATATTTCATGAGAGTTTCCGTGAAAAATAAAATTTCTCTGACAAAATATCTTAAGAAATAATAAAAAAACTTTTCGTCAAGAAAAAACATATATATATTCAAAAATATTTTTTTCATCTGAGATTCCATCGTAAATTTATGTATCATCAATCCTAAAATTTTATTTTATTGTTATTTTTTTTCCACAGTACTGCATGCATTAGAATATTATAATATGTACCACACCGGTTCATATTCACAACATTTTTAGTGTGCCACTCACTCCAGTCAAAACAAATATACAAAATATTAACCCTAAGAAGTATAGTATAATTAATTATATTCTAGATTTATTTTTCAAAAATTATTAATTTAAATATTATAAATTTTTAAATCATTAAAAATTTAGCTAGTCATTAATTTTAGAATTTTAGAGAATTAGTCTAGATACACATAAATTAATCCGTACATCTATAATTACAACAAAAAAATACAAAATATTCAACCAAAAAATTTAAAATTAAACTACCCCAAACATATATAAAATATACTTAAAACATATGTTTAACAAGGTAGTTCCATCCTAAATAAATATTTTAGAGGGCTGAAAAACATATTTGCTCCGTACACTCCGACAATTGCACAAAATTAATTAAATCTCATAAATAATATAATTTGATCACATAAAACGTGGAAGAGTATGAGGGATATGGAGAAAAGCTGACTGTAGCTTTAATGGTAGCTCTCATTTTGTTCCACTTGTTGTCGCATAACACAAAACTCATGAGCGGCCATTAATTCATCACTTTTCCTTTGTATCTCCACCAGTTCCCTTAAAATCCCAACCAGTCCTAAATTCATAATAAATTAATTCCTATACCTAAAATTACTATTCATCTTTCAATTCAAAATACAATTAAGCTTATTATCTCAAGTAATTATTGAAATATCAAATACTAAACTCAATTCCCCCCAGGTCCAAACCAACCCCTGGCTTTTCAAAATGGTATCAACAACTCAAAATTCTAACCATATCCTAGCTTCTCTAATAACAATAATAATATTCACACTATACTTATAAGTGTTGGAATTTGTTTTAATAAAATTAATATGATTAATGTTTACATTTAAAGTCAAATATACAATGGAGGCTACTTATTTTTAGGGTTAAAATTTCATTGAAAATAGTTCTTCAATAAAAATTCATTAGTATAAAACATTGACATGATTAAAAAAAATATAAGTGAATAAGAAATTGATATAGAGTGTATTTGACAGTGTAGTAGTAGTTGCTTTTCAAATAACGTTTTGTGCCGAAATGCATGCAAATAATATTTTTTTTATTTTTTAAAAATTATTTTTAACATCAGCACATCAAAAGGATCCAAAATGTATAAATTATATTAAATTTTAACAAAAATAAAAAATAATTTTTTTTTAAATTTTTTGAGAACGCAGGTTCAACCGCGTTTCCAAATACTACTATAAAAGAATCCTTGGTTAGCATATTTTTGTAAAACCTAAGATCTTTTATCTCATATAAAAAAATATTTTTTTTTTATAAATAAGAAGTTAATGAGCCAAGAATGTCTTAATAAAAGAATATGAGTTGACATATACTCGCAAGCTTGGCTTGGGCTCATGCACCTGAGTCTTGGTCTCCTGTTTTTTTTTTTTAACATATTTTGAATTTGAATTTAGGTAATTATAAAGTGATTCTTTAACCTTTAAAAAATTATTTTTTGTAAACCCATTTATGAATATCCAATAAATGAATAAAAAAAAGTGAATAGTCTATCCTTTTCATTTTCCTTAACAGTTTTTGAAATGAAAAACATATGATTTTAAATATAAAAATAGTTATGTTTTTATTATTTCTTTATCAATCTTGGTTCTACAATCAATACAAATAGGGGTTAAAGAGGAGATGTTCTAGATATTTTTACAATAGATCTCCAGTCTTCTCCTCTCCTTTCCTAATCCAGTGTTTAAGTTCCCATCTTTGCAGGGAGTTGTTGAATTCAATTGTTTAGGTTTTTTGACCTTGTTGAGCAACGCATTTAAATAAAAAGTTGTTAGAATCCAAGAAAACTAATATTATAACCATCATGATTGCATCAATTGAGAAATAAAAATTTTTAAAAAATAAATAATTAATCATTAACAACAAGTTATTGTCACTTTTTGATTTGAAGTTCTTCAACAAATAATTATCTTAAACTTATATCTATTTATTTTTAATTAATTTTTGGCTTTACCTGTGATGATATACTTTCTAGGATCTTCTATGCTTAAACTATAACTAATCTTATATTGCCTATATAAGTTTAGTATGCTTACTACGATCGCTTTGATCTATTTAATTACTATTGTAACTTGATCACATAAAATTGCATACAATACACCTAAATTAGGGTGACATCTAGTCTAATTTTTAGCATAGAAACAATAGTAAGTTACAAATTAAAATCATAAACACCTAGATATATAAGCTGGACATTGTTTGATCTATTAACCAGCAAAAACAACAAAGGGAAAGCAGGGAGTTTTTGTTGCTCTTATTGTCGCTTCAGCTAACAAGCCATTGTCGCTGCTGGGCTATTGGATGCGTGGGGGTTAATTTAATGATTTAACATAACCTAAGAGAATTATTCAATTTTTTAAAAAAAGAACTGAACTGACAAAATTGCTTCTGTCATAGATTTCAAAAGTTTTGTCAATAATTCCATTGGTGATGACCAATTTTCTGATAGTGAATGAATTACGTAAATTCTACAAATTTTGTAGGCAAATTAATGTTATTTTTTTTATTTTGACAAGCTCAAAAACTCCTTTGACATGTTGAAAACCAGGAAACACAAGTAAAAACTGATATGGGCATGGCCCCTGGTTAAGCTGCTCCTGCTCTTTCTGTTATTAATTATTTTATTTTATTTAGTTTAATTTCAAAGATTTTCGATCTCACCACGATCTTATTAAATTGCTAAACGAATCCGGTGGCAAACCCCTTCTTAAAGCTTTTCAGGCTGTTTAGTACTCTTGATTATCAGATATCATCACATGTTTACAAGTTCAAGAGGATAGAGATGGAAACAAAATAAAATAAAAGGAGGAAGAAAGTTAAATGTAATGTTATTGCACAGTTAGTGCACCAAGTTTTGAGGTTCTCTCAATCAAGTCCTCTGAGTTTTATTTTATGCAATGCATCACACTGAATCGAATCAATAAAGTGTTTGGGTACTTGTCGAATGATGCCCGTTTGCCAAGAAGTGGCGGCCAGAATGCCATGTGTTAAACTTGATGCAGCTCTATCATAGTTATTAGGATCTGATTTGAGAGTTGATTCAGTCAAGAAACCACATACCAAGTTATACAAATTAAAAGATAATATTTTAAATTTTAATATTTTATATAAAAAATAAAAAAAATCCATGAATATAGATTATATATCTTATAAATAATGAAATTTAAAATATTATTTAAAAAAAAATTATTTCACATTAAAAAAATACTATATTAATATATATAGCCAGTATAAATTTAATAACTATGATTTCCACTTGTTTTTGTTTGAAGTAAATTTTCATTCCAGGGAGATCCATTTCCAAGTTTTCAATCCATATAGGTCAAGGCCAGAATATTTAATTGGAGAGTATATATAAGTAATCATAGGACGCATACCTAACGCTTAACTTTGAGCTGTGGTCCTTACGAGGCTAATGAATCTAGACATTCCAGGGTTTAAGAGAAATTAGCCGCCTGGTCAGCACTCCATATATACCAATCCCCCCCCCCCAAAATAAATGTTTTAGCTCTAACATTAATCAATTAACTTTATAGGTTCGAAAAACAACTTGTATAACCATAATATATTGTCCAGCTTTTTAAAAAATTTCAAAGTGACAAGTTCATTTAATTATTAAGATATTAGATCAATCTTGGTTAACTTTCGTCTTAAAACATAAACTCTATTAATTTTAATTATTTTATTATTTAAAATATTTTTATTTAATTATATAATAAAAAAATATGCTCATAAAATCAAATAACAACACAATTGAGACCATATATGATAACACTATAATAAACAAACTATAATAAATCATAAAGTCTAATTTTTAATAATTAAATATTATAAAATGAAGTGAAGTGAACTATGGACTCCACTTATATATATATAAAAATTATTCTTTATTTATCCACATGGTAACAAAAATAGACAATTAAAAAATCAAGCATCAACCCATATCAGGATATTTTTTCAAGAATGTGATAATCTCTTAGAAGAAAAATGAAATAAATTATGGAGCTTAAAATTACTTTTAAAATTGAAGAATGATATATAAAATAAAAAAATAATTTAAAAAATACCATACCAAATCTACAAATTGAGGCAATCTGAATTACTTTGTTAATCCTACAAAACGATTCATAGATTCCATTGAGGTTAATAATATAGTTTTTAAAATTATTTTTTAATTGTATGTTTAAAAAATAAATAATTACAAAATCAAGTTTAATTAAATAAAAAAAAGAATATCCCACTAAACCCTTAAACCAAGTCAAACTTGGTTACCTTATCAAACTTGCAAATCAAGTCATGGTCTCCATGAAGTTTAATAATATAATTTTTATGAAATTAGTTTTTATTTAACTACATATTAAAAAATTAGATGTTTACAAAATTAATCATCAACCCAAAGTTCAAATATTTATTTAAAATTACAATAATCCCATAAAAAATAAAATAAAATAAAATATAAAATCTAATTATCACTCAA